TCCAAGTGGTAGAGCACTAGTCTTGAGCAAAAAGAGCTCAGGGACAGTGTCTTGAGCTGAACTCAGGACAGAGTCCTGAGTTCAAGTCCTACAACTGCAAAAATATAGTAAGGCATTTCCCCACCCCTTCCTATACTTAAATGGGTGGATACAGACACAGAGAGGTGGTATCGCCCAGGAGTTAAGCTAAGAAGATGAAGATGATCCCTGTCTGGAAGATAGAGCAAACCTCTTGGTGATCTCACACAGGCAATAGGGCCCGCCAGACAACCAAGGAAGGGTTCCTAGAGAAGGCAGTGGCTGAGTTGGATTTTGTCGGATGAGTAGGAGTTTTCCAAGTAAAGACAAAATAAGGGGGTCTTCAAAGGCTTTCCCCCTGAGAGGTTTTTTTCCCCTGAGAGCCCAAAGCTGGAAATGTACATGAGGGCTGGATGGCCAAGGGACTGGAATACCCTCGAAGAGCGAGGACCAGCATGGCAGATTCTTGGAACAGTCTGGAGTTACTTTGCGTGGTGGAAATGCCGCATGGATTACCTGCACTTGCTGTAGACAGTGGACAGGAGCTTGCCTCCTGGCCCCTGCGTCCTGGTCTGTGAAGAGCTCAGGGCAGGGGGAGCCCTTTACCCTCACGTGCAGAGGGTGGAGGAGATGGAGCCGCCACTTTCAGGATCCTGTCCCCACACCCCACCAGCGGGACTCCAGACCAACTTTCACTTTGACCCACCTTCTGGGAACCCGGATTGTGCCTGTCACCGGGCTGTGTGGACGGAACTTGGCAAAGGAGAGATAAACAGATCCAGGCTCCCAGGCTGAGTTTCATTTTCTGCAGCTCGAGCTGGGGACGAGGACTCAAGTTACCTGAGAATACCGAGCAGTGAGAATCAGCCAATCACTTCCTCTGAACTTCCAGACCGGAGAGCTCAGGTGCCAATCATGTGTGCAGAGCAAATCTAGATGCAAACTTAAGACATAGTTTGGGCCTCATTGCAGTATTGACAGGTTATCTCTCCATGTCAGTCGATGCCAGATTGCCATGTGCGGTTTTCCTTGATAGAAAATTTACCCAGCACCTGCCTATCATCCCAACGCTTGGGAGGCTGAGGCAGGCGGGTTGAGGGTTGGAGGCCAGCCTGGGCCATATAATGAGACTCTGGCTCAAACAAAACAAGCATTTGAAGAAAATGCAAAATATAAACTAGATTAGAAAGCCCCTTGTCCACCAGGCGCTGGTGGCTCACGCCTGTAATCCTAGCTACTCAGGAGGCTGAGATCTGAGGATCTCGGTTCAAAGCCAGCCCAGGCAGAAGAGACTGTGAGACTCCTATCTCCAGTAAACCACCAGAAAACCGGAACTGGCGCTGAGGCTCAAGTGGTAGAGCACTAGCCTTGAGCTGAAGAGCTGAGGGACAGCGCCCAGGCCCAGAGTTCAAGCCCCACGACCGACAAAAAAAAAAAAGAAAAAGAAAGCCCCTTGTCCATAAACTTGTATCTTTATTGATGTCTCCTTGGCCCAGCCCATAAGGTGCCCAGATTCTGTCACTGTTTGCAACTGGGATGCAAATGAGGACGACAATGGTTAAACCTGTTTCACAGGACTCAATGGGAAGTTATACCTGAATGGCTTAGGTGACGTGAGGAAACCTGTCTCTATTATTAGCAGTGGATGGGCGAGAACGGGGCCAGGTCCGTGTGGCTTCATGGCTGTGGTGCAGCCTGCTTGGTGTGTCATAGCTCCTGGATTTGGGCGGTGATGTATTTTCTTATTTGCACGTGTTCACATCCTCCTGACCTTCCCAAAGCAGGGCCCGGGGGATATGTTCATCAGGCCTCCTGATTCATGCGGGCCTCACCCCCTCCCATCATTCCTGATCCACACCCTCCTCCTGCCCCTGGCCCAGCAGGCTCCCACCGGCGGGAGGCGAGAGATCAGCCACGCGTCATGCTTCCGGGTGGTCCTGTGTCCGACCCCCACCAGCTCCTGTGCTGCTGAGCCGGCGTCGGCTGCGCGGTGACGTCATCGGCGCGTGGCACGCGGCGCGGCGGCCGGAGCAGCAGTGCGCAGGCGCGGTGCTCCGAGGCCGCCTGGGGCTCGCTCCACCCCGCACGAACGACGACGACCAGGACGAGGACAGCCAGCGACAACGACCAACCGACGACGGGGAACAGCGAAAAGCGCAGACGCACGAGGGTGAGTACGGTGGCCACACACCTGGGCCGAGGCCACCTGCTGGCGCTCGTGGGCCTTCGAGGGCCGTGTGCGGGGTGCAGACGGAGGGGCCTGGAGGCCCTGGGCCCGGTGCCGGCTCTCGGGGGTGGGCGCGCGGGGACGCAGGCCCTCACCGGCCCCGCAGCACCCCGCCGCCTTGGGGGGGGGGGGAGGGAAGCGCCATTTCCGGCCGCGTGGGAGGGCGGGCTCTGCAGCCTGCGTCCTCCGCTTGCTGTTGTCCTGATTGGCTGGAGCCGAGGGGCGTGGCCACGGCGGCCCCGCCCCCAGCCCTCTCCCACACAGGCTCTGCCCAGCGGCCCCCCAGGCCTGGTCGCCACCCCGCCCCCCCCAAGTTCAAGTGCACACTCCCTACGGCAGCCCGCCAGACTCCTCATGCGCTCTCCCACCTCCGCTCAGCCTTTCTAGCACCTTCCACCACGCTGCTGCCCCCCTGTCCCCCAGGCTCCCGTAGTTGTTTGCTGTCGGGTGCCTCCCCGCGCATGGCTTCGGGGAGACGAGGGCCTGCACGTCCCTCCCGCGCTGCGCAGGCCTCTGTTCTCTGGTTCCTTCTGGTGTGTGCGTTTTGTTGTTGAGGTGTGTCGGGGGGGGGGGCTCACCGCGTGGCCCTGGTACCAGGGCCCGGGACTCATGATTTTCCCACCGTCTTACCCATGTTTGAGCACCTCAGCCTGCAGGCAGACGTGTGTGGGGTCCCTGCTGCAGGCCACACTCTGCGCTAGGAGCTTTGCTGGGCACCTCACAGAAAGGGTTGGCTCTCCATTTCCCTGGGAGATCGACCCCAGTGAGCTGTGGAGTTTGCCTTTCACTGGCTTCCTGTAGTCCTTCCTCCTTCAGTCCACTCTTTAAGAAACCGAGTGTGTGGAGTGGGAAAGAGCTGGTCCCAGGCCTGGCTAGCCTTTTGAGCTGTGACCTCCCCACAGACAGACTTTGCCCCGCTTCTGTCCAACTCAAATGGGGACCCGGGTTACCAGCTCAAGGATGGCTTTGAGGATCAGCCTCATCATTCCAGAGAGGCACCCCTTCTCATTCTGCCTGTCCCGCAGCTCATGGTACAGAGACTCGTGTGACACACCAGCCAGTCTCAGCCCTCCTCTCACTTTTCATTCGCCTACAGTTGACATAAGCGCTCCTGAATCATGAAACTGAGGTTTGAGAGTGAGATAAGAGAATCTGCCCCACCAGGAAGCCGCGTGGTGTGGCATGCACACACGCGCCGGTCGCCTGCCCTGGCACTGGAGTATAGATAGCCCTGTGGGGCTTTCAGGTCCCCTTCTGTGGGTCAGCATGGATTTTTTTTCTTTCAAGTGACTCATAAAGAGCCGCCCATGCACTTGCTTGCAGGGACCTTCATTCCTGACTGTGCCGCTCCGCTCTGACACCAGGCCTGGGTTAGTGTGTAGCACTTGCATAATGAAAATAGGATTTTAAAACTTTTTTCAAAGTAGGAAATCCCCACGCGTGTTGTAAACTACCTGCCAGTTCTGCCCTGTTGAGAGGAGGCCCGGGGCCTCATCTGCAAAGAGAGGCCTCAGGAGGTGGGCGGCAAAGGGTGAAGGCTATACACAGGTGCCCACAGATCCATGCCAAGTGCCACCTAAGCTTGGTGGCAGTGTGACTGGTACTGTTGTGGTGCTCTGCTGGTGGTGCACAGAGGTTCTTAGCCCTCTGATGCATCCTGTGTGGGGTGGTGATGGGGGGTGCCCTGGTACCTCATCTCCAAACCTTCCTCTCCATCCAGGTGCTGTCCTGAGGTGGGGGTGGGGGTGGAGAACAAAGATAGGGCCAGGGCCTTGTGATCCACAAGCAGATACTGTCCTTGGGCCATCCCCACCCAGGGGGTCCCAAGCACTCTCATGCCCAGCACAAGCCCAGGCTACTCCAGCTGGCCAGCTCTTCTCTGCTTTCAAATCCGAAAGGCATCATTAAGTATTAGGACATCCCATTACCTCCCATGTCCCGGGAGGCAGGGCTTTGCTGTGTCCTCCTAAACCAGACAATGACCCACTCCCTGAGAATCCGGCAGCGAGTGCTACTGCTCGTCAGGAGGAGTACGAGCCCCAGGGTCCTGGGCGCTTCCTGCGCTATGAGCTGCCCCACCAGCATCGTGGCACAGTGTCCCCGTGCTCAGGCAAGCTGCCTATTTTCCAGGCAGAAGCGGAGGCGCAGGCCACCAGCGGGGCCCACTGCCACCCCAGAACAAAGATTGTCTTTCTGGCTCCTAACTGAGTGCTCACCGAAAAGCACCCAAGACAGAACAGGGCAGGAAGCAAGCAGGCAGAACAAGCGCGACCCTGGCCCTGCGGACCAGGCCTCCAGGATGCAGTTTCAGAACGGCCACACCCCCTTCCAAAAAGTCCTCCAGCCCCCACTCGCCCCCACCCTCTTCCTGGAAGTTGCTGTGGTCTAGAAGCAAAGAAGTTTCCTCTCTGTCATCCATTTCAAGCAGACTGTGGCTGGACAACCACAGAGCGAGCAATGGCCCACCCTCGGTTTTCTCTGCTGTAAGGTGGGGACAGAGGCGTGCCGAAGCCACAGGGCTGTTTCTCTCTGGGATTAGTGGGAGCAGGGGAGGCACAGAGGGGCTGGCACGCGTCAGGAGCTCAGTCTCTGGCCGCCATCTTACCAGACACACACCAAAACTAGACCAAGAGTTTCTGAAGCCAGCTGACCCCCAGCCCCGGGTCCAGGCAGAAGCCCCCCTCCCCTGAGCCTGCACAGACCCCCATACAACTTTCAGCAAAGCACACGCTCTGGAAACTTGTTCTAAAAAAACAAAAAAACCTTTCATAATAAAGTTTATTACCGAAACTGTAAAAAATATAAAATAGGGTTCTGCACAGCAGAAAAATAAAGCCAGAGACCCTCCCCCACCCCTGGTTTGTGCAAAGATACTGGGTGTATGTAAACATGAAGAGGTAGGAGTGCGAGTTCAGGTCCTGGCCCCAGCCATACGTAAGCCGGGACAACCAGGGGAACCCAGGGGGAGCACCAGGAGGGGAGCACCCCCGAGAAGTGGGGAGGGGTCTGCGGCCTCGTCTCCAGCCGAGAGCGGGAGGCGCCTCGCCCCCCCACACCCACTCCCTCCACCCCGGGTGGGGAGGGCACCCACGTGGTTCCAGGCAAATAATAATAATAATATAATAATAATAACGAAACGGTCAGGCGCCCGGTTAATGCTGCGTGCAGGGCGGGCCGCCGGGCGGGCCGGTCAGATCCGGAAGGGGAAGGAGCTCAGGTAGTCGCGGAGGACCGGGTTGAGGGGGATGCGCGCCAGGTTCTCGCGGCCCACGGTGGCCACGATGCGCTGGCGGCACAGCTCCTGCAGCGGCCGCACGCGGCGCTGGCGCAGCGGGGCCCCCAGCATGCGGCGCGGCGCCGCCACGTAGTGCTCCAGCAGCTCGAACAGGCAGTCGAAGCTCTCGCGGCTGCCGTCCAGGTGGAAGCGGCCGGCCTGGAAGTGCACGCGGATGCTCGTGGGGCCCGAGGCCATCTTCACGCTCAGGGCGAAGAAGCAGTTCCGCTGGCGGCTGTCGCGCACCAGGAAGGTGCCCACGGGCTCGGCGCGCAGCCGCTCGTGCGCCCCGTGCACGCTCAGGGGCCCCCAGTAGAAGCCGCAGGCGTCCAGGAGCGCGCTGGCACGCGTGATGCGCCGGTAATCGGCGTGCGAGCGGAACGTGCGGAAGTGCGTGTCGCCCGGGCCGGGGGCCGGG